GATTTCAGGCGTGTTCTACCCCACATGGCCCAATCATGTCTTCTAACTCCCGTTTCCCACCACACAATGCTGTTCCTGGAAGAAGAAGCACCTCCATGAGTCAGTGCGAGATGCACAGTGGGGGCAAGAGCTCCTCGTGCTGGAAAGTCAGGAAATGCTGAGGCTGCAGGCATGTGGTGATCCAGACTCCTCCTCAGATGGCCAGGAGGACTCCATGTGAAGTCTGTGGTTGACACGGTGGTCTGTCATTGCTAGCTTTTCACTTTTGACAACTGAGTTGTGGTCATGTTCATGATGGCAGAAATGGGGTTAAGAGAACATAGAAATTATCTGGGCTATCTCTGCAGCATTTTTGCAAGCCTAAAGTTATTCCAAAATTTTTAAGAAAAGTGTTGAAGATGCTCACATTAGCTGGAATCTGGAACAATTTGATTATTATTTTTTAATATTTATTTTTCAGTTGTAGTTGGACACAATATCTTAATTTTATTTATTTATTTTTATGTGGTGGTGAGGATCAAACCCAGGGCCTTGCACATGCTAGGCGAGCACTCCACCGCTGAGCCACAACCCCAGCCCCACAATTTGATTATTAAAAGGCAAAGTGATAGGAATGGATTAAAATTCATTGATAAACATACTGACAGAAAAAAAAGAGAAAAAAAGAACTTTTCTATTCTTCTATTAAAGAATGGAGTTAAGAAATGTAAAAGAAATAATTGCAATAGAAAACTGTCACTCTGTCACCAAGGTATAGTAGCTGATGCAGGCAGGTTCTTGGAAGAGGAATCCTGAGCTCGATGGGGGTGCCAGGAGGTCACAGGATTTCCAGTGTCCCCTTGCAGAAGCCTTTATGGAGGAGGAAAGACGACTCTCACAGTGAAGAAATCTGGCTGATAAGCCTTAACCAAGGACCGACCTCTTGGTCAGCCCTGGTGGCACCAACAGTTTTCATGGACCGCTTGGTCAGGCTCAAGGTGTTTGGCTAGGCACCTGTGGAAAGTGCAGATGTTTGGCCACACCTGACCTGCACTGAGTACATTTTTTCGTGGCTTGGCTTAGCAGTGTCCCAACCAAACAATTGTAATCATGGGAAAACTGTGAGCCAATTGGGTCAAGAGACAGTCTATAGAATGACCTGAACTTTTCAAAATTGTTAGCATCAGAAAAGATAAGGCCAGGGAACTTCTCTAGAAAAGAGACATGACCAGTAAATGCATTGTGTGTCCCAAGGTAGACCCTGGATCTAGATGTCAGGTGGACATATGGAGGCATGTGGCTAGGGGCACCTGCTCCAGGCTCCTGTTCTCCTAACGCTGCCTGTCCTCAGCAGACATGGTGTGTGGGTAGGATGCCTACCTGGGCTTGGAGACGTGTTAGGATGCTGCCTCCAAGTGCTTTAGCAAAGTGCTTCTTTTTTTTTTTTTTCTGTACTGGGAATTTGACCCAGGGGCACTCAACCACTGAGCCACATCCCCAGCCCTTTTCTTTATTTTTTATTTAGAGACGGTCATGCTGAATTGCTTAGGGCCTCACTAAGTTGCTGAGGCTGGCTTTGGACTCAAGATCCCCCTGCCTCAGCCTCCTGAGCAACTGGGACCACAGGTGCCCCCATGCCTTGTTGTTGCTGTCTTTTCTGTAGGATATCTCTGTGGTGTTTACTTGTCCCTGTGGCTGTCACTTAACATGTGGGTTTTTCAGGTCTGGCGGCGGCTGGTGGAAATAAACTTTCCTGCAGAGTATGACTGGAAGGAGTCGCTGCTGGGGGACATGGAAGGGAGGCTCAAGAAGGTACCAGACATGGAGGACACCATCAACATGATGATCAGCCCAGACTGTGGCAGCACCTGGGACTACAAGCAGAGCACACATGTACAGGCCCTGGGATCCACCCAAGCTTTGCATTTCTGTTTCTGATCAGGGCTTTGCAGTTTGACCTCAGAAACATTTCAGAGTTCTAGTGTGACGTTCTTGAAAAGAGCCAGGGAATGGGATTGTGCTCTTACTGGAGCCCTAGACATACGTGTCATCAAGCCCTCCGTGTATAGGTGCTCCAAGGGACCTGCTGGTGGCAGGAGCCTTATTAAACACAGTGACATGGAGGAAATAAACAAACAAAAAAAAGGCCTTCATTTTGAAAGAAGGTCTGTGACCCAGAAAAGTTGGTTTCTTCATAAGTGTTTTATATGGATCTGATTAAATGGACAAAAGAAAGGAAAAATGGCTCTTTTTCAAAATTTGCATGTTTTTACAAGCTGCTATTCTAGCTGCTTTTTTTGGAATATGAGAAGAGCCTAACTTGGTTTCATCTTTACTCTTCTAGTGAGGGGCAGGGAGGACAGGCTTAGTGTAGGGCAGGGAGGAGGGGAGTCAGAACAACCAGGCACTTACACCCCCACCCACCTCCATGTTTGCAGGAGAGGCCTCTTTCCCAGATCTCTGCCTTCTGCAGCCCTCACTGGGATGCCGCTGGCCTCAAGGACAGTGTGGCCAGGAGCTTTGAGAAGTGTGTCATCGAAGCTGTGAGCTCTGCTTGCCAGGTGACCAATCTCTTCTTGGGAAACATGCTGGGGTTCACAGATGCTTGCTGACATGGCCAGCTCCAGGCCTTAAGTGCCTGCCAGTTCCAAGGCCTGTGCTGACCAGGATTGGGTCCTTGGTGCCCCCTCCCTGGCTTGGGCCTCATGCTGCAATCCAGTGCTCTATACCCACTCCTTGACATGCAACTTGGCTTCCTGCTGCAGAACCCTGTGCAAAATTACAAGCCATCGTGCAGCTGATCTGGTGGGCTGTGCCTCCAATTGCCATTGTGATCGTTTCCCCTGGTTGGTTTGTGGTCTGTTAACTCTTGCCCAACAGATATGCAGGAAATGACCCCAAAGGTTGACAAAACATCTATGGAAGGAAGCTTCTGAAGTTAAATAGACTCCATCCTTGTTGGGGTAGAACACTTGCCCAGCATGGCCCTGGGTTCTATTCCCAACACTGCAGAAAAAGAGGGGAAAGATTCTATCGTTTCACTTAGCTTTTTTTTCTGCAAAGTGGGAAGAGGTTCTGCCCTGGCACATTCCCCACACAGTACCCCTGAGGCTCCCAGGTCCTTCTGTATTTCCTGCTGGACACTTCATGCCCTGCACAAGCCTCAGCTACACTGCTGGCCAGTGGAGTCGTGAGAAGCAGAACTCAATTTTTCTACGGAAACAGACTCTAATCTTTTTACATAACTAATACTTCTAAGGCTTTCATTTGTTCTTTGCTCAGTGCTTTAGTAACATGGCAGCCACATCTCCTGTCACTCACCCTTGGAAGCCAAACTTGGGGGGAGTGGTGTGTTTCAGGTGTGGGTGCCACCAGCACAGTCTACTTGGCAACATTCTCATCAGCTCACAAAGAAAATGCAGCCCTTCAGCTGCGGAGTCTGCCCTCCACCATGCTGGCCCCAAGCCCCTCCCCAGCAGCACCAAATCTTCCTTCCTCCTCCACAGACTACTCAGGTGTCTCAGGAATGAAGTCACACAGGCTGTTGCTGCAGTCCGGCTGCAGCAAAATAACTGGGGGGTGACGAGCAACTTGTGTAGATTGATAGAGCAGGAGTGGGAGCCGTTTATTGTAGGACAGGAGGGGTATGTGTACATTGCACACAGCTTATCTAATTAACATAAAATAGATGCAGCAGTCAACCAATCAGGAATCTCCACACTTAAGGGCTCACTGGCCTTACTTCACAAACCACTCCCTCTGCAAAATGCCAGGCGCCATCCAGACTTGTTTACAGACTCTAACAGGCTGTGGCCTTGGGTGCCTGGCTTCCTTGAGCATGTGTTCAAGGTCATTCACTCTGGAGTACCTATCAGTCCTTTGTCCCTTTTCATGACTACATGTTGCTCATCATATGGACTCGGGGCTTTTATGTTCCATTTGTCCTCTGGTGGACATCCGGGCTCTCCCTGACTGATGGCTGTTGTCAGTCTGCTGCTGTGGACCTCCACACATGGGTTTGTGTGGATGTGCTGTTCACACTCTCTGCGCCTATGGTGGAATGGCTGGATCACTTGGTACCTGTGTGATTGAAGGACTATCTGGCCCATTCCCACCGTGGCTGGACCATTTCCATGTCAGCTGCAGCCTAGGAGGGACCTGACTTCTCCACACCCCCACAGCCTGTGCTCTCAGTCCTGTGACTGTGCAGTTTGGGGTGTGGAGTGGTTTCTCTGGTGACTTTGATAGCTATGACTTCAGGTACCTTCTCATATGTTTTTTTGGCTATTTCTGTTTTCTATGTCTTTGGACAAATGTCTACTGGAAAGAAATGGCAGTGGAGGCATGGACAGATGTGAGGTGAACCCTCACAGCTGCGGCCAACAGACTTTTTGACTAGAGTGCCAAGATCACTCAAGGGGTGAAGCACAGTGCCTTCCTCAAATGGTTAATTGGGCTCTGTGTCTTTCCTTGATTGTGGCTTATGAGAGTTCTTTGGATAATCAGGCGCGAATCTCTGGTCAGATATGTGATCTGCCAGCATTTTCTCCCATTCTCTGGATTGTTTTCACTCTGGGTGTTTTCTTTAGAAGCACAGAAGTTTTTAATTTCTTTTTCTCTCTCTCTTTTTTGTAGTAGTAGGGATTGAAACCAGGGGTGCTGAGCTACATCTCTAGTCCTTTTTCTTTTTTATCTTGTGAACAGTCTCACAAAGTTGCCCTCAAACTTGCAATATTCCTGCCTCAGCTTCCTGAGTAGCTGAGGTTACAGGTGTGCCCACCACTCCTGGGAAGGTTTTTACTTTTGGAAAAATTCAGTGTGTCTTTTTTTTTTTTTTCTCTTGTTGCTAGTAATTTTGACATCTTGTGCTAAATGCTAGGTCATGAAGATTTACCCGTGTCTTCCTCTAAAAGGTTTTTGTTTTGTTTTTGGCACTGAGTGCTAACCTAGGACCATATGCTAATACGTGCTCTGTCATGGAGCAACCCCCTCTGAAAGCTCTAGAGTGTTAGCTCTTAACATTAGTTCCTTTTTCTATGTGGTGTGAGGTAAGGGTCCAGGTACATTCTCTTGCATGTGGAGATCCATCTGTTCCAGACCATTTGAGGAAGGCACTGTACTTCACCCCTTGAGTGATCTTGGCACTCTAGTCAAAAAGTCTGTTGGCTGCAGCTGTGAGGGTTCACCTCACATCTGTCCATGTCTCCATTGCCATTTCTTTCCAGTAGGTCGTAAAATCAAGAAGCATGGATTCTCCTGATTTGTTCTCCTCTTTTGATATGGTTTGCTATTCTGGATCTCTTGGGATTCCATATGAATTTTAGAATCAGTTTGTCAGTTTTTGCAAGGAAAGCATCTGTGATTCTGACAGGGATGGCTTTGAATCTGTAAGTCATTTTGGGGAGTGTTGACCTCTTAACAATGTCACATCTCATGGCTTCTGAACCTAGAATGTCTCCCCATTTATTTTGGTCTTTATTTTTTTTCAACAGTAGTTTGCAGTGGTGAGGTCTGCATTTCTTTTATGAAATTTACTCCTAAGTACTTTATTCCTTTGCTATTGTAACAAATTATTTTTTCAGGGCTGGGATTGTGGCACAGTGGTAGAGCACCTGCCTAGTACTTGTGAGGCACTGGGTTTGATCCTCAGCACCACATAAAAATTAAATAAAATAAAGGTATTGTGTCCATCTACAACTAAAAAAATATTTTTAAAAATTGTTTTCTCAAATATGTTTTTGGATTATTCATCATTAGCACTTGGAAACAGGGCCGCACCTTGTCTCTGTGGCCTACAGCTTTGCAGGCTCATTTCTTTTCTCTACCGGGGTATCCGTGGGCGAGTACCTTCTTTGGAGTTTTGACATAGATGACCATGTTATCTGCCTGTAAGTTAGTACTTCCTTTACAATCCCAATTCTTTTTTTTCCTTTTCCCTACCTAATTGCCCTGGATAGCAACTCTGACACTATGAAAGGAGTGAAATTGGCTATCCTGGTCTTGTTCTTGGAGTTTGCCTGATACTTCTTCTGTATCTATTGCAATGGTTGTCACTTTTTTCCTATCAGTATGATGTATTCATGTTTTTATGTCTGCGTGTGTGGCACTGGAGATGGAACCCAGGGGTGCTTTATCACTGAGCCACATTGCCAGCTCTTTTTGTTTTTAATTTTGAGATATATAGCCTCACTAAGTTGCTGAATCTAGCCTCCAACTTGTGATCCTCCTGCCTCAGCCTAGTGAGCTGCTGGGATTACAGGCATGTGCCCCTATACCAGGCTTATTAACTGATTTTTAATGTAAAAAACGTGGTTTTATTCCTGGGATAAATCTCACTTCCCTCTGGTCTATAACTTTTTATTCATTGCTAATTAATGTTTTCTTTTATCCTGTTAAGTGTCAAAAGTACCTGTTATTAGTTTACCCTGTGTTTTTTATTGATCACTGAAACTTTTTCATCTTTTTTTTTTTTGCAAAAATGTGAATGCAAAGAAGAAAACTATTTTGTTTCTTGGTGAAGCATCAGAAGGAGAATTGGAGTGTCTGTGGTGTTTGAGGGTAGCTTGTGATGTAGTAAAGTTTTCCTCATCTTGTTTTTGGCATTTTTCATGACAGGCATGTCTAAGAGAAATACAGAAGCTGACAATGAGCTGGGAGGGTGTGTGACTTGGGATTATAGGGGTGTGTTTGTGAATCTTCAAACCTCTGGCACCTCACATAAGGATCTAGGCCACAGGGCAATGGAAATGCCCTAGGAAATATTTAGTATTTTATGTTTCTTTTCTTTTTGCAATACGGGGGATGAAACCCAGGGCCTCCAATAGGCCAAGCTCCCCACTTACCAGGGGGAAGCCAAACCTCTCTTCTGTATTATTATTATTTTTTGAGGCACTATAAAACTAGCTTCAGTAGATTTATGAAATGCTCTTGGGTGCTAACTTGTGTCATTAAAAAACAAATCAGTAAAATCTTCTCAACTCTCTTTTAATTCATTTTCTTTTAGTCTCAGATCAGTGTCCTGGAGGGAGTCTCTTGTCATGATTTGCAGAAATCTGGCAGCCTTGTGTCTGCTGTGATCACCAAGTCCTGGCCCAGGAACAACAGAGAGGCTGTGGAAGGCCTGGATGAGATTCTTGAACACCTGCTCACAGGGCCAGATGTGAAGCAGCTCTTCAAGTTGTACGGTGCGTGTAGGGCTGGTTGGAGTTGCTGTCCTTCCTTGGGCAATAGAACAGGCAAGGTCCTTGACCTGGTCCTCAGTCTGCATGTGCTGAGGTTTGGTAAAGGCAGGAGGCATGGAGGTGCAGGCAGGTGTTAGGCATAAAGAGCATCTAACACTAGAACCATTGTCTGCTGAGTGCCTGCTGAATACGTGCTCCTGGGAGGACACATGGTCCTTGAAGCAACCCAAGTCCCCAAGCCCCTTGATTTCCAGATGAGGGAATGGAAGTGCCCAGGGCACATTACTTAACCAGGATGTTGGAGACTCACTGTGTCCAAGACAACAAATGATTAGAAATCAGTCCAAGCCCAGCTTGCCTCCCTGTGAAGCTCATGTGTCACATTTTGAGACCAATATTGATAACTAACAAAACATGAAGTGACTCTTGAGCCATCACCTTCCCAAGTGTCATACATTGCCCTGGAAATGATGGTGCAGGTTTATGTGTAAATTGCTAGATTCAGATCCTGTAGTGGGAAAGCACTGGTGTGGCCATAAAAACCCAGGGCCAATGATTGTCTCAGCCAAACCAGCTGCTCTGTTCTACACCAGGACATAGGCAGGAGTAGTGTGTGGTCCTGAAGGTGGCTGCTGTGTGCACGGGCCACAGCAGCCTGCTGGGGAAGAGTTCACTGTTACACTCCACAGCATGCATTTAAGGCTCCTCCTTGTCTTTTCCTGGCTTCCTGGTTCCGTTCCTTTTATCGCTGAGCAAAGCTCCCTTGTCTGGATGTGCCTGGGTTGGTCCACTCTCCCACTGAAGGTCATCTCAGCTGCACTCTGTGTGGGGGTGATGTTGGGGATGAACCAGGGATTCATGCCTGCTAGCCCAGCACACTACCACCAAGCTGCACCCCAGCCCCCTGTTATCTTTGTTTTGTTTTTTTAAAGAGAGAGAGAGAATTTTTTTAATATGTATTTTTTAGTTTTTGGTGGACACAACATCTTTATTTTATTTTTATGTGGTGCTGAGGATGGAACCCAGCGCCCTGTGCATGCCAGGCAAGTGTGCTACCGCTTGAGCCACATCCCCAGTTGAACTGGGCTGACTGGGGTATGCCAAATAAAACACAAGAGACACAAATACCTTTTTGTTTGGGGTCACAGTGATGGCTCCTCTGACTTTAAGGGTCTGCAGGAGGAGAGAGAGAGAGAGAGCACGTGCTGACCCCTTTTATTGAGGAGAAGCTATTCAAATGAGGCAAGGGGTCAGGTTTCAGGGGGCTGAGTCTATCTTTATGATGTCCGCTGTCAGCAGGTTGACTGACATCTGAGTAGGCCACACCCAAGGGCACAGTAAGAGAAGGGAACACACACAAGGCACTTCAATGAAAGATTCTATCCTAAACAGGGCAAGGGGTTATATTACAAAGGAACAGGTGAGCATAGCTTCACCCATGGGGCTGTAGCAAGACACACCTATGCACAAGACACTGTCCCTCAAACCCAAGAAGGATGGGGAAAGCTTTGCCATATTTTTGTGACTGAGCGCCTCAGCATCCAGCCGGGGAGTGTGACTCAGTCACGTGCAAGGTTGGTCTCCCACAAGGTGAATTTCCAAGAATATCATATGTAGTTCAAGAAATACGTTCACTATAGCACGGGCTCAGGACTTCAACCCTGAGCACTGTGGTTCTCCTGGCTGACTTTGTCCATCTCCTCCTCCCAGACAGGAGATGCACTAGGTTAAGACCTGAACCTCACAGGTGCAGGCGTAGCTGAGTGAGGCATCAGCGCATCTGGAAACACCACTGACTGCTGCCAGCGCCGTGTGGGCATGGGGGCTGGTGAGAGGTTCTAATGGCAAGGAGAGGGGAGGGCCGCATGCTCATTGTGCTCGTTCTTCTCAGGGACAGATGAGAAGCTCTTCGCCAACATCACAGAGGACGCCAAGAGGTTGATGGCTGCCGCCAGCTCTGTCTTCGCAGAGGTTGCTGGTGATGTCCTGGATGGGTCCATATTGGTCAGACGGTTGGAGCTGATCCTGAAGCACAAAAGTCAGTTTCTGGACCTGTGGCAGCTAGGTGAGCTGGGCCAGGCTGGTAAGAAGCCTACGTTCACATGTGTGCTGGCTGTCCTCCTCTATGCCACCAAGTGGGGGCCTCCTTGTCCTTCTGATGGTGACTGTGGGGCACTCCCAGGGAGAGAAAGGGGTGCCGTGAAGTGTGTTTCCTTTGGCTGACTTTGTCATTGATTTCCAGAGACAGAAAGTTCTTCATTCCAACAGAAAAATTGTGACATGGAGAAGACACTGGACTGGAGGATGGGCGAAGTCCTGTTTCTGAAGAGAGAGAAGAGACAGGTGGACAGCCTCCTGAGGCTGTGTGGGAAGGTGAAGCACCTCGTCCAAGGTACTGCTCCCGCAGTTGCGCTGGGAACCCTTGAGAGCTGTCACAGGGACGAAGCAGGCCACAAATAAAGGGGCCTTATTTTTCAGGGAGAAGCTTTTAAAAAACATTCTTGACCCAGTTTTCAATGTGTTTGCCCAGGGAAGCAGCTTCCCCTTGTACATTCTTGTTTGTGTGCCTCCACACCCGTCGATGTCCCCGATTTCCCAGTGTCAGTGTCCTATGCTGGCTTCCCAAGGAGGGGAGGGTAGATCTTTCTCCAGTCTGTGCCCTGAACATGAGGCTGCTTGCTGCTCTGTCACTCCCAGGGTGTCCTGAGTTACTGGTACCTTCTTCAGGGTAGGGCCTTCGCCATGGTGTGAACACAGGATTCACAGGCAAGCTGTGCGGTGGACCACGGCCACTCCACGGTTCTGGAACAAACTTTCTGTAGCTGGTGGAATTGCATTTCTTGTCTTGGTACTTTCTTTTCCCCTTTTTCATTGTGTTTATTTCAAATTCAGCCCCAAACTGAACCAGCTATCTGAGTGGATGTCTCTGAAGCATCTCCCAGGACAGAGGGCTTATTTTCCCTAGCGGGGAGTTGGCCCTTAATCTCCTCTGTCTCTCAGGGTTGCCTTGGCCTCTGGGCTGGTAGGGCAGGTCCTGCATCTCTGGCCAGTGCTTGACTCCTGTTGGACAGAGGGTGGCATCTACTGCTTGCTGGAGGCCAGATACAGAACTCTGCCCCTGCTGTAGGTTGATCATTGGGCCAGGGGCAGAGTTTCCTTCAGCTGCCTGAGTGCTGCATTGGGATGTCAGATGCATTCTTGCTACTGATCCTCTGTATGGAGCTTGTTGTCCTTCTCTGGATGCTCTTGAGAGCTGTGTGGCCCTGGTGTTCTGAGGTTGACATTAGTCTGTGCCTGGCCTTGGGTCTCTTTTCCATCTCTAGGATGGGGCACTGGCAGGTCTCAGCCAGAGATCTAGTCTTAGAGCTCTAGGGCCTTCTCCTGAATTGGTTCATTCTGCTTTCCCTGTTGCAGGGTGCACATCAGCAGCTGCTGGGCCTCCTGGCATGGTTGCCTGACTCCCATGACATCTCTCCTGCTTGGGCTTCGCTTCCTGAGCCTTCTCTTCAATCTCCTCCTGTAACTTGGGCATTGAATCCTTCATTTCAGCTCTTATATATAGTTAATTTGAAGGCACTCCCTTTTTTCTTTTCTTTTTTGGCACTGGAGTTGAACTCAGGGGCACTAGAACACTGAGCTACATCCCCAGCCCTATTTTTGTGTTTTATTTAGAGACATGGTCTCACTGAGTTGCTTATTTATTTTTCTTTTGCTGAGGCTGGCTTTGAACTCGTGATCCTACTACCTCAGCCTTGCCAGCCACTGGGATTACAGGTGTGTGCCATCACACCCAAAACTTTTTTTAAAAGATATTTTTTTAGTTGTAGATCGACATAATACCTTTATTTATTTATCTTTATGTGGTGCTGAGGATAGAACCCAGTGCCTCACATGTGCTAGGTGCATGCTCTACCACTGAGCCACAATCCCAGCCCCTCCTTTTCTCTTGAAATATTCATTTATATACTATGTTCTTGTGGTTCGTGGTTGCAGCATGTTTTCCTGGTTTTTTTTTTTTTCTGTTTCATCCAAGTTGCTTTTATCTGTTGGCTTTCTTTCTTTCTTTCCTTTTTTGCATGTTGGGGATGGATGCTAGGCTTTTTTTTTTTTTTAATGGCACTGAGGATTGAACCCAGTGCCTCACGCATGCTAGGCAAGCATTCTGCCACTGAGCTACACAATCCCTATTGGCTTTTTTGGATATATTTCCCACATTAAAACTTTTTCTGTTCTGACTGGAGATTTTTGTTTGTCTGTATGAAGACAGTCCCCACAGGTGGATGGACAGGCTAAGGGCTTCTGGGCTGTGACCTATGGGGCTCTGTGGCTGCCCTTAGATTGACCTAGTCCTTGAGGGCTTCTCTTGTGAGCTGGTCATATTTGCACCCCCTGCCTGCTAGACTTCTGGAGCCAAGAGGGAGAGGAGGAGAGTGAGCCCCACTTTTATTCCAGTTTTCCTGCCCTGGTGACTGTGTCATCCTCTTTGTCCTTAGATTGAATACTCCCTGTCCTCTGTAGCTGCCCAAGACAGGTGTGTGTCTAGAAGTAGCCTCCAGGCCAGAGAGCCCTGCAGTTGGTCCTTCCTGCCCCTTGACAGGGGGCGGGCAGCCCCCATCTGCCTCCATGGTGGAGGTGGACTCTCACCAACTGCTTCTTAAACAGACTTTGAACCCAATTCCAGTTCCCTCTCTGCCTCCTCCAGTCCAGAGTGACCTTAACATCTAGTGTCCTTGAGTGCCAGAAACTTGTGCTGGGCCTGGCTGAGCTCACCTCTGCTGTGTCCTTAGGGTCTCTGTTCTCAGGTCCCAAGTGTCGTTTGCCACTGGTGTGGCCATCTTTCTACTTCCCAGGTTGTGTTGTTATTGGGCTTCTTTTCTACTGTCCCTGTTCCTGCTGGTTATGATGTTTTAAAAGCATTTTCTAAGCTGTCACTGGAATGGGATTAGGGAGGGACATAGATTTGTGTTTCCAACTGTTCTCTCCACACAAGAGCTTCCAGTCTGTTCTTTATCATGAAAACTGATAAACAATCCCGTGGCAGGGTGGAGGGGAGGAGGGATGAATTCTTCCTAAGAAAAAACATCCCATAAATAATATTAATTTGTGTTTTCTCAAAGAAGTTATTAGAAATACTAGGAAAGTAAAATAAGATGCTACCGTGACTAGCAGTTTAACTTCCATGTTTCCTTGTGGTTTCCAAAGTGGATTTTGGAGAGATTGAAGCAAGACACTCAGAAGACTTGAACTGCAAAAGACTGAATGAAGCCATGAGGGTGAGACAGCCGCTGTCCTCAGCCTGCAAGCTGATGACGCACTACAACCTGGACCGTGAGGTCCAAAGAATGGCTGCAAGGGTAGACTCGCTGATGGACAGCCATATCTTCCAGATCTTCTGGGAAGAAGCTGCAGAGTCATTAAGCCATCCCCAAGGAGAATCTGAAAGACAAACCCTTGCGCTTTTAGAGGCTTATGAGTACTTGTACTCGCCTTGTTACCAGAGGTTCATGAAACTCTATCAGGATCTGAAGTCAGGAGAGGTCACCTTTGGAGAAATCAATGTCATCTTCAAGGACTTTGTGGATAAATACAATGACCTGACTTTAGACCTCCAGATCATGTGTGAAGTAGACCCCCAGGCCCAGAGGGACTGGATCTCAGAGCGTGTTGAACAGATCAAGGAGTACCATAGCCTGCACCAGGCCATCAGCTCGGCCAAGGTCATCTTGCAGTTCAAAAAGGATTTTGGATTGACCGGTGACTTCAGTGTTCTTTACACTTTAATAAACTTTGTGAGTTATTTGCTAGGGACTCCTGGGAGGTGGAGGCCTACCTCAGACTCCTTAGAAGCCCCAGGTTTTCTTGGAAAATCAGTGAGGCAGCCCCCTCCAAGGACTCTCATCTGGGCTGCACTCAGTCTGGAACATTCCAAGCCCTGGGTTTTTACCTTTGCTTGAGACAGTGTGACTGTTCCTTAGCTAGTGAGTTTTCTCGGGTCTATATGAGAACCAAAAATTCAGGGTAGAAAAACCAACCCCTTTCCAGAGGAATCTCATCTCTTTAGGTTATGAAAGCACAGATGAAATATTTGGACATCTGTCCAGGTACCTCTCCTAGTTGCAGTGGGAATGCCAAATGGTACATTGCTCCTGTTGTAGCTCAGGCCTGAGTCTCTTCCTGTTTCTTAGTCTCACATTTCTAAGGTGTGTGGATTTTCAGTAGAGGCAGGTATGTTAATGCTTAAAATTTAACACAGAGTGTGGAATTATCTCTACCTAGTTTTGAACCCTTCGGTAAGCCTATGAGTAACTCCCCCAGAGAAGCTAACAACATGGACCTGGCTGGGCTGCTGTGAGGAGCAGGTTTCGAAGTCTAGGAAAGCTTCCTCACAGGACCTGGGTACTGGGGACAGTAGCAACTGCAGCTTAGCAAGGAGGGCTGTGGAGGTCATGCTATCCTTGGTGCAAGAATGTGTCAGGCTCTGCTATAGCAGCTGCTGGTCCAGGCATACTGGAGGGGCAGGTGTGGGTGGTTGCTGGAACAGCCCACAGCAGAGCTTCATCTTGCAGATTGATGATTTCAAGACCACCCGTCACGAGAGACTGAACCAGATCAGCCCACAGCTCATCCAGGCCAAGAAGCTGTTGCAGGACATCAGCGAGCCCCGCCGCCAGTGTCTGGAGGAGCTGGCCCTGCAGAAGGAGCTGGTCAGCTGGCTGCACGACGAGCTGAGAGGTAGGGTGGGAGCTCGGCTTCAGGTGTTTGCCAAGTGGGGTTCCTGACCTTAAGGATGTCCTGCCTCAATCATGTGCATGTGTTGGGTTGGGGGGGCAGTGTCTGCTTCTAGGCCCACAGTGGAGTCTGCATCAGGACCGCTGTTCAGGCTTCTGGTTAAACTGTTTCCTGTGTTGCTCTTTCCGTCTGTGGACACTGGCATCATTTTCATAAGCATCTTGACTCCTTTTTCTCCTTCAAGCTCATTCTGCCAGAGGCCTGGGCGTGCTCTTGCCCACAGAGGGGTGTTGCTGCTGTAAGCTTGTGTAACCTGTATACTTCTCTTCCAGCCTAGGGCTGGGCAGCCTGTGTGGTTGTGTGGACTAGATAGAGGCAGGGGAGGAGAGGTAAGAAAGAAAGCTCAAGGAGGTGGAGCGGGTCAGCACTCACACACCACAGAGGCCTAGAAGGCCACCTCCTGCTGGCACTGAGGCGTCACTGGCTCCAGCTCTCATCCAGAGCTTTGCTGCTTCCACCTTGTACTCCTGAGTCTGCTTTGACTTACATTCTTTGATTAGTAATTAACCCTAGGGGAATTATCTCAGTTTTTTAAATAATTGATTGCCCAATATTATTTTATTATTTTATTAGTTGCTCAAAACATTACAATGATCTTGACATATCATACATTTGATTCAAATTATTTACCAATGGAACGTGTTTTTGATCAGGTGATAATGTTTGTAGATTAAAGGAACTAAGGTACACACAAGCCTAGAACAGTGCCTGGGACATTGTTTGGTAAAGATTAGATGCTGGTCAGTGGTGTCATCATATGCTGCAAAAGAAAAGGGTGTCCTGGTGTCCTAACGGAAGGCAGGAAGTGCCACACACGCTAGGTGTTTACCTAGTGTCTATCGATGGCCTCACGAGGGATCGTGCCCAGGTGAGAGTTGTGCAGCATCATGGAGTGGTCCTGTGCTGACCCCCTCTCTGCCCCAGGCTTCACCGAGCTCCAGGTGTTTGTGGACCTGGCCTCCATCTCATCTGGAGAGAGCGACATTGACGTGGACCGCGTGGCCTGCTTCCACGATGCTGTGCAGGGCTATGCGTCCCTGCTGTATAAGCTGGACAAGAAGGCAGGCTTCAGCAAGTTCATGGAAATTTTAAGAGAACTCTGGAAGGCTCTGCAAAATGACCCCCATCTGCCCAGCAAGCTGGTGAGTTTGTCCCTGATTCCCAGGTGTGGAGGTCCTGCAGCCCTGGGGAGCAGCTGTGCTTTGAGGCACGTGGGCATGGAGGCGTGTGGGCAGCCATTTAAACTGGTGTTTAAAACCAGCTTTTCTTCACTATGGAAATGCTTTCTTTGTCTTGGGTTGGAAGAGAACTACAGAGCTGCATGTCAAGAGCAGTCTCCACCCTACAGGACAAGTGTGGAAAGAGCACAGTAGGAAGCGTGTGAAAGGGTGTGCAGCAGTTTTCTCTGAATTTAGTAACTGTCCTTTTATTTAGTTACTTTTTTGGTATTTTTCACAATTGATGTTGATTAATTTTTTTATCAGGAAAAAAAAACATTTAAGTAAACTACCTGTACCAGCGTCTGAGTAAACTTACACTCATAACTCACCCAATGAGAAGAGATGTCCAGAGGCCTGCACCAGCCTTGGGACAGTCCTGTATGTGGTTGGAGGGTGGGGAGATGGACAGAGAGAGCAGTTTGCAGTTTTTCTGCTAGAAGCTCATTTTCTGTTGTGATTTTTCCTGTTCTTCTGGTCATGCTCAGGGACTATGACAGGACATTAAGAACTTAGGGCTCCTGTTCAGTCAACCATCTCTCCTCAAAGGGCCTTTGTTCTGGGAGCCCAGGAGGATGGTGGCCTGCCACCAGAGAGCACGGCCTGTGGCTATCTTACCAATCAACCATAAGTGCAGGCCAAGTGCATTCCAAGTGTCAGCTAGAAACCTGGCACCAGTGCAGCCACAATGAGTGGCCAGGTCCTGAGGAACAGGCAGGGTCCTGAGGGAACAGCCAGGGGTACCTGAGGCAGCCTCAGGCAAGAAGTTATGCCTGGAGCCCTGGAGGAGGGTGGCTGGAGTTTGCCCAGCAAGGGCAGAGGCAGGAGGAGGACATCCAGGAAGATAGTCATTCGAACCCTGGCCCATATTCTCTGCTTTCGTTCCAACAGCGAGATTCTGCCAGGAACTTGGAGTGGCTGAAGACAGTGAAGAAAAGCCATGGGTCCATTGAGCTCTCGTCCCTGTCCCTGGCCACAGCCATCAACAGCAGAGGCATCTATGAGGTCAGGGCACCCACAGGTGACCAGAAGGTGAGCCCTCTCAGATTCCAGGTGCACTGTTGGTGGCATGCACTGGCCTGCTGCAGAGTCAGCGTTGTAGCCACCAGAAAATGGCTTCTAAGCATGTTTTGCCTCCCAGATCTCCCCAGATGCCATCCTGCGCCTGATCCTCCCTGGGGGTCACAGTGGCCTGGAGCCAGAGCGCGCCTACACTTTGGAAGAGCTGAAGGATCTTTTAAACAAGCTGATGCTGATGTCTGGCAAGAAAGACCACAGGAGTATGGAAGTGGAGAGGTTTTCTGAGGTGAGCAGGTGCCCTGTTGCCTCAGGCTGGGCATGCTCACTGCCCTGCTTCCTGCAAAGGGGAAGGGGCAGGGGTTGGCCTCTGGTGGACAGAGTGGCTCCAGAGAGTGGAGCTGGTGGGTCTGCAGGGTGCACCTTGCCTGGAGCCCCATCTGAGGTGGGACAGGCCCTGGAGGCCCTGGAGGCATCCTGAAGATCTGTCACCACTGGTGGTTAGTCAGCTGCATTTAGCAGGAGGTGACCAAGTAGATAGTTCTGAGAAGAAGTATGAATGGCTTCATTCACTCTGTAAATTGGCCAAGTCAAACACCTCAAGATTCTAATGGGCACTCTTCATCAAAACTAAAGTAACCGAGCCAGGTTCGGTGGCACACGCCTGTAACACCAGTGACTCAGGACGGAGTCAGGAAGAGTGTGAGTTAGAGGCCAGCCTCAGCAACCTAGTGAGATCCTGTCACAAAATGAAAAAGGGCTGGGGACATAACTCAGTGGTATAACACCCTGGGTTCAATCCCTGGTAGCACCCCCCCCAAAAAATAAAACAAAAAACCCTAAAATAATTGTCAACATAGGTTGTTGGTTTTTGTAATAGTCTCTCTCT